GAAAAGTCCGAGTGGTGACTTAATAACACAGGAGGTTAGTAAGCAGCTGTTCTCCATCTTCACTAAGGTTGGAAGAAATGAAATAAGATATAAATTGCAACAAGAACAAAAATGTGTTGTAAGTGGGAAATTCCAAGCACTAGAATTGCTGGATCCTTAGAAAGGTCTTCAGAAGAAGAATGTGGAATCTACTTTACTGGTCTGCAATGATAGGCCTATGAGTGGTGAGGAAGATGAGATAATCTCTTAAGATCCTCTCTGGATCTCTTTTTATAAATCTACCTAACCACTTAGAAAAATTATTTGCCTAAACAATGCCTCATTTCCTTCCTACCACTACTTGTATCAGGATCCCTTATCCTTTGTCTACCTTCTGTAAAATGCTGCTAACCAAGGGTAGCTAGGTCCCTGATCAATCATGATGGGCCCTCCCCAGCTGCTAGGTTCCCTTCCAGCTTTGGGAACAAGTTTCTTGTCCATCACTTATATCCCTGGCCACTGCCAGCATGTTGAAGGTCATCTTCCCATACACCAAATCCATGACAAAGGAAAGCAAAACCAAACATAATTTCCTACCTTAACTAGTTCACAAATGACCCAATGGATTAAAAGACAGATCTTATGTTCTAGAATTTGAGTATCTAAAGAGCTGAAATATGTTTTATTCATCTGCCTTTAACATAGTCCAAAGGGTTGGGGTACCTGGTTGGCTTAGTCGGTGGAGCATGTTACTCTTGAATTCAGGGTTGCAAGTTCGAGATTACTGAAAAAATAAAATCTTAAAACAAAACATAGAGCAATGTTTGTCAGTAGGTATTCAGCAAGTTTTCATCAACTGAATGAATGTAACCATGACATGAAGATAGTAAATTGAAGATGAACTGAAGTTGAGAAAGTCAAGTGTTTCAGATGTTTCCAATGATTCTGTATGCTAGACAAATCTAAGTCCCAACCCTTGTTGCCACACGTGTAGCACTGAGGATTTTATTCCTACCATGCCTGTGTTATCGGGAGGATTTAGACAAGAGAGCCAGCTGCACATCCTGCAGACCGTTCAAGATAGGCACTGTATAGATTCAGAATCATATTAAAATAGGCCAAATTCCTAGTGTGATTTTGTTTTTTAGGAAGCTCAATGGTTTTTTTCTAAATTCTCTTCTTGCATGTTTCTAACTTTCTCCATGAAGAATATGAAATTTAACAGTAGAAAATCTCTCATCACCATCATCAAACAGCCTAAATAGTTGTCTCAAAAATAAGGTAATCTGTTCCTTACAATTTGATTCAATGTCCTGGAACCTTCTGGTTTAAACCTGATAATTCTTCTCATGACTCTTCTCTCAATAAAACCAACAACATACCACAGGCAGCTATCTCTGTCAGTTCTAACATTTGTTCTCAGTCTACAATCGCAATCCTTTTGACCGTGCTTACAGAAACATTACAAGGAGTAAACCAATTTATTCTTCACTATTAATTTTTAAATGTTCTCAGGGAAAATCTGGTAACTCAGAGGGTTACAAGTTGATGACTCTCATATGTTTGGGGGTTAGTCTCAGTTGTTTTATAACGGTTTCGGTGCTGTTTCTCTTGATCCAACTAAATATTATTCCCAGATGGGATCGGTTTTTGACCTTCTTGTTCTATTCTCCTAATTTTGGCCCTTCTAACATTTTCCTACTGTGGCTCCTTTCTTTTTTTTTTGTTTGCCACTAATGGCCATGCTTGGTTACATAATTCCTGTAACAGGTGTTGGCCAATTTGGGCATTTGATTATGGCATGGAAGCTATTCTTAAGGTTCATAAAAAGCTTACAGAGAAGAAATACACCCATATTAAAGGACCATCTAATAAACAGGAATATTATTTCTCTTTTAAGATTTTTCTCAGGACAGACCTTACTCAATAATTTGTAGGATTAGAAGTGACACAGTTCAGTGCTGGATTGGGCCTTTGAAATCATGCGGCATGACTTTGAAAATACCTTTGCCACTCCACAAAGCAGGGGAGTTTTCTGTTTACTTATTATTTTCCCTATGCTAATTATGAAGATTTTCAGCAGTTTTTGAGGTCAATTCATTTGATTCTAGACAACTTTTTTATTTTTTTGCAAGGAGGATTGAAGGCAGGAGTAACTAGGAAACAAATAAATATAATTAAACATAAAATGCTTATAATGATAGAATTGACCTCACCAATTAAAATTTTTAATAGAAAAAAATATGTCAATGTCAAATCTGAGTCTACTGCCTCTGTTCCCACTTGGGTAATGAGGCTTAGTTTATGTTTCCTGACAAGAATACATGAGAATTCACATTTCTTCCTGACCTTTGTCCTTCTAGAACATTGGGTTAGAATAGAATTAGTCCATAACCAAAAATAAAGATTTTAACTAATTCAAAATTAATTTTTAAGCCCCTCAAAAGTGAAATATGGAGCATTTTCTTTTCACGCAGTCAATTTTTTCCTCCTTTGGGTGATTGAGAAAATGTTCAGATCATGAATTTGGGAACTTTGTCCTTAACCTATCAATCATGCGAGAGACTAATCTTTAAGGAGAATCAGAAATGTTTGCTCTATATTCTCAGCATCACCCTTGATCATAATAGGAAAATAATTTTGTAAAAAGTTTGATCTTAGACTTCTAGCACTATCTCCATATGCTACCTGAACTAAACAAATAAAAAAAATTATTCAGAATTCCGTGCAACACACCAGTACAACTTTAGTTTATCTTAGCTTCATTGTTTTTGAATGTAAGATGTACTTTTAAGGCAAATAAAGTATTTTAAGTCTGATCTTTTACTGTTTTGGTAACACTGTAATCACAAATCAGAAAGTTTCAAAATGCTCAGAAATGTCAAGAGGTCTGATTCATCAAAGGGTTTATCTGAATTGACATTTGTTCTTCTTTTATTTCTAAATATTCCTGCCATTTCTGACTCCTCTGTCTTTCCTCAGTAAAACTGCACCACACACTGGAAAGTAGAGATACAAACATTTATTTGTATAACGTGAAGGGAGAGTAGGAATAAGAAGATTGGCCGTAGACACAATCAGAGTCTCGGAAATGAGAACACTTTTCCTCCCACAAAAATGCTGATGTGGCAATGTGGATTTAGCAGGTAGAAGATCTGCCATAACTTCCAACTGAGCAGCACCAAGAATGCTAAGATTCTTGACTTTCACTTGGTAGGTATTTTTCCCAGGAAGTAAATTACAATTGAGCTTAAAAACTTGAGGAAATAACTCATTTTCAAGCAGATTTAAAGTTGGAAAGTAAGCATGGGTTTGAAGTTAGCATAAAGTTATTTTAAAAAGTTTAGGTAGGGCTCCTCTAGTACTTTATATAGTACACGGTTTGTGTGTGTATATGTGTGTGTGTTTAATTTATAAATCTAGTCTCTTAAATTGTTTTGTAGTATTAAAAGAAATTGTGTCTCTATTCAGCCTACTCCCCTGGGAATCGATACAGAGTTTCTCTGAGGTGGCCAAGCCCAGCTTCATGCCCACTGTCTTTTACTGCTTCTGGCTAGCCTGCAGATTTCACATGCATTAACTATCCCACAGTAAACCTCATCATCTGTGCTGTAAGGTAGTTTGTATTGGTCATGTGTCCTGTCACGTTGATAGAAGTGCAAAGCTAAATGTCTGACACGCTAAGAATATGCATGTTTTTGAACAATTTGACTACTTAGTCCACCAATTTGGGAAATCCTTCTGGTAACACTTCCAAGGAACAGATAGCTTTGTTTATTTTGAGGTGGGGGGAGGCACCGATATTTCTAGGTGGAGTTCCTGAGTTCATTGAAGTCTTCTCTCTGGCATTTAACTGTGTGAATTTGGGCAAATTATTTCATGGCATTGAGCCTCAGGTTCTTCATTTATAAAATAATAATAGTTTCTGTCACTAGTCTTTAGAAGCTCTAAAACAACTAATACAAGTGAACTCATTTTGTTAACTGTAAACCCTTAGATATAATATTATTATATACTCCGTTCAACAGCACATTCTTGATAGCCACAAGAGGGTCCAGGAAAGGAAACTTTATAAATCTTTCCCTTTCCCCAAATTAATGTTGGAGTGTTTAGGGAAATTCTTACAGCAATGAGTCTTAGCAATTATTAGGTCAAACCCCTTTGAGATTAGAGAAAAATGCACATACACATAACACTGGCCTACCAAATTGGGGGGGGTGTGGATGGGCGATTCCTCTGACACCCATTTATTCGTCCCTTAAGAAAGTGTTTCTCAGAGGGTGACCTCAGATTTTCTGCATCCGAATTGCCTGAGATGCTTGTTAAAATGTTAATTCCTAGACCCGGCCCCACCCCTACTAAATCATGAATTCAGGAGGGGAAATCTGCGTTTTAGCAGGTACCCAGATGATTTGTATGCTCGCGGGAGGTCCAAGGACTACAAATTAAGTACTGCCGTCTTGTTCCTTATTCTATATTTTAAGATCTTTCCCAGTAGCCTACGAATCGGTTGAACTAATGGGAAGAAAATTGAACTTCAAAACAGGAACCTAGGTAGACGGTTGACAGTGTTCGTCCAATGGCAAATTGAAAATAGTCCTCTGGACCCTAGCCACTTAAGTTCTCTCCGAGGGTCTTGGCTACCTGCACCCTAAAGACTGCTCTTCGCTGGGTGGGGGAGGGGCGCGAGGGTAGGATTAACTGAGCCAACTGCTTCTCTCCCCCTCCCCCCCACACAGGTAAGAACAGAAGGCTCTTTATCTTTGCTGCCCAGGTTCATTATTAAAAGGATTGGTTTATGTGTAAGTTTGCTAGGGAGAGAAGTGAAAACATCTGCAAAACCATGCAATGCCCTGGAACGGAACTCTTCTAATAAAAGATGTATCATTTTAAATGCGCTGAATTTTGATTCTGGTAATTCGTGCACTAGAGTGTCTATTTCGAGGCAGCGGAGGTATCATATGACACCGCACGTCAAGGCACCGTGGAGCCCTCTCGTGGACTCCCACCCACTTTCCCATTCATCGCGGAGAGGGCTGCTCGCGCTGCCGCTCCCCCTGGCGAGCTAGCATGAAATCTCCCTGCCCCTGCCGAGATCAAATGGAGCTCCTCGCTCAGGGGGTGCGAGTATTACCTCCGCCATGCAATTTCCACTATCAATAATTTAACTTATTTGCTGCAGAACAGAAGGAGTACATACCGGGCACCAAAGACTCGCACCCCCCACTTCTTTTTAACCAAAGGGAACGTGAAAAAAAAAAATAATAATAGAGTCTGGGAGTTTTGGGGCCGAAGTCTTCCCCAGAGCAGCTGCCTTGATGTTTACTTTGACAAGTAGTGACTGAAAAGGTGGGTTTCTTTTCTTTCTCTTTCCGTTTTTCTCTGGTCGGCTAGAAAGCGTTTGGCTTTAGTGAGCTCTGTCATTACTGGCTGGAGCAAGTAACTTGATGTAACGTTATCTGGGGGCATTCATTAATAAAAAATGCCGTCATTATCTTGATTGAATTCCTACTAGGCAAACTCTGGAGAGGTCACTGCACGAACTCTGTTTAAGCCGACGTGTTTAAGGCAGCGGAGTAAACCAATAGCCCCCATGCTCCGTGCGATTTCATTGTGTGCTCGCGTTTGCAGCTCCGTCGTGCGGGAAGGTGCGGGAAGGTGTGTCTCCTGGCCCGGGAAATGCACGCCCTCTCCCGCAGAACTTGGGTGCTGGGATAGGGCGGAGGGAGTTGCAAGGGAGGGGAGCAAGACCCCGGGAACGCTCGATTCGCAACAGCTCCTTCCCGCCCCAGCGCGCACAGCCGGGGTTTCCGCTAAGGGCGCGGATGCGGGGTTTCCCCGGGCGGGGGTAGGTCTCTCCTCGAAGCAGCGGGCGCGGCGCGTACGTCCTGCCTCGGCACCCCGGGCGGGCGCGGGGCTTGCGGGGACACGTCGCGGGGTCCCAGGGACAGGCGGAGGGGGGTGCACGGACCCGGGGAGCCCCGGGAGTCCCAGGGGCTGAGCCAGAGCGAGGAAAAGGCGCGGCGTTCCCTTTAAGCGTCCGCCCCGCACGGGTATCGGTGGCGCGGGCGAGCCGGGGGAGGGGGGCGGGGGGCGGCGCCGTTTGACCAATCGAAGCTCAACCGAAGAGCTAAATAATGTCTGACCGGAGCTCGAGGCGCAGGCTGGAGCTGCCGGTCCCCGCCGCCGCCGCCGCCGCCGCCGCGCCCGGGCGCACCCGCCCGCTCGCTGTCCCGCGCCCCCCGTCGCGCCGCGGGCTCCCGGGCGGGGCCGAGAAGCCGGCCCGGCGCGCCCCCCGCCTCCTCCTCGGGAAGCTTTGATGAGACACTTGAACTGCAGTTGCCACCGCTGCTGTGGGGCCGGCGGCCAGCGGCTCCGCGACGGGAATCCGGGCTGGGTTCAGGGGCCAGGAGCGAGATAACGATGTGACTCCTCCGCCGGGGACCCGTGAGCTTTGTGTGGACTCCGAGGTAGGCGAGTAGCGGGCGTGAGGCTTGGCGCGGGAGCCTCCCGTCCGCGGGGGAAAGTTGGCTGGGGGGCCCCGAAGTTGTGGGAAGAGGTTGGAACTCCTTTCCTCCCCTCCAGGAAAAGGGGGACTTGGAGTTGCTCCGGCGGAGCTTTCTCCTCGGCATCCCGCGGCCCAGAGGGCAGCCAGGACCCCCCGAGGGAGAGGGACCCCGGGCAGCCCTGAAGTGGGGGAGAAAAAGCCTAGAGGAGACGCGGAGCTGCTCAGCAGGAGCGGAGACGGCGCCCCGCGGATCCCCCGAAACCCTCCCCTAGCACAGCCGGGGTCGTGAGAGAGATTTAGGGCGCCAGCTGTCGGGGCCCTGACTGCGGTGACTGTGTTGGAGCTGGGATATGTATCTTTCCTGTGGGATGGCGGTCCCCGCGCAGATTTTGGGGGGTCCCTTGCTCCCTCGGCCCGCACCACCGCCCCCGGGGCTCCAGCCAGGCTGCACACGGTCACCTGCGCCTCAGGATTTGAGACCAGAGCGGACTTACACAGGTCCAGTGCCAGTATATCTCGGAAAACTTGAGACACTCCTTCAGCTCGGACCTGAAAGGGGCTGCGGGACTCCGGGGCTGGCTGCGCCCACACTTCTCCCCATCCCGCGGCCCTCCCTTGGAGCACCTTCCAGGGAATTACAAGTTTTGACTTTCGGGAGCAGGATGGGGTGTCTTGACTCTCGGGTGGGTCTCTGGGGATGCAAAGCCGGGAAGAAGGAATGGGTGAGCTGTGCCTGGAAAGAAATTGCTGAGGATTGGGGGCTTTATGCCCGACGGGCTGAGAAGGGAAATTGCAGACTGGGGGCATCCCCAGGAGAGAAAAGTCTTGGGGTTGCTGGAGTGAACTGGATTCGCGGTCGGAGGATGCTGTGTTTGTGTGTGGGGGGTGGAGCGGGGTGGAGGGACTGGGCTTGGGGGGCGAGGAGGAGGGGGCAGGGAGCTTGGTGCTAGGGAAGGTAGAGGGTGCCCTCTGCCGGCCAAGTTACCCAGAGCAGCTGCCGGGGGCCGGGAGACTGGGGGTAGGGTAGTGGTAAAGGATGACTTTCCGGGATCCCTTGGGGAGCTGGTAGGAGGGACTTGTTGAATGATGCTGCTGACTCCCGATTCGGATGTATTTGACCCGTGCTCCTCTTTGGCTCCAAAGCAAAAAGTTTTCCTCACGCTGGGGGAGTTATGACGGACCACAGTTGGTGTGTGAGGGCTCCCTGCATCTTATTTCTGGGTTCTTCAGGTATCTTATAGTTACCCCTCACAATGTCAGTAGTAGCCAGTGAACATTTTTTGACAAGAATGCAGGAATGTTCTTGGCCAGAAGCAAAGAAAATCATATTTCTGAATGTTTATTAATTCTCCTAGTACAGTTATCTTTTAAAGCAAACCAGTGTCTAATTGGGAACGTTGTTGTTTTTAAACTGCATGTAAAACGTGTTATGCTACTAAATAAGATCTTCAAATTGGTTCTACTTCTTGGAAAATACCCCTTCTCTATTCTTATCCAAAAATTTATTTCTGTATGTGTTTATATAAGGTCAAAAGCTATTTTGGTCTTAAAATTATATACTTTTTAAAAATATTTTTATTTATTGAGGTATAATTACAGATTTATTTCGTCTAAGTGTGGGAACCCTCATTGTTTACCTCCTGCAAAACATCATTTTTAACTTGAAGTTTCTGAGATTATGGCACGTAGTGCTCCATGTTGTTGCACGTAATAGATCACATCACACATTGCACATAGAGATTGCCAATTCTTGGCCCTGGGACCAGCACCCCTTTAAAACACTCACTAACTCCCGTTGCCTGATTTTGCGAACACCTTGCTTAAGATTTTTCTTTTGTGAGTTTACCTCTGGGCTAGCAGCAGAGAGGTAAGAGAAAGGAAAGAGACACTTGTTGAAATGTAACCATAACTTTTACTGGAATTTAAAACACGTTGATTATCATTACTGGAATTCCAGGGTCATAAAATCGTTGTCTTTTTTTTTCTACATTATTTTGCAAAATGTGATAAATGTTGGTAAATACAGACTGGTAATAAGTATTTTGATAGAATTGTTATGTAGGTAGGGCTATTTTAAGTTATTACAGAACGTATTCTATTTATAAATGATATAAGCAGAAAGAAATGATTTCCAGATAAACAAGACTCATGTACATGTTTTGAAGCATTAGAACATTGCATACACACTTAGACATCACATTTTTTTAAAAGCAAAATAACAGAGTAATTTTTCACATACCTTTGGAGCCATTCATAGCCCATTCAGAACTGAATTAGTAACTGGAAATCATGTTTATTTTAAGGTGATATTTAAGGTCATTTAAGATATAAAGTAGGTCAACATTTAAGTATCCACAGAATAAAGCATTAAAGAAATCTGTTTTAGGATGTCTTCTCAGTAAGTGTAACTTTTACTTTCGAACAAGAGGAACTGAGAAAAGGATCATTTGCCTGAAAAGCAAATGATTCATTTGTACTAAGTGAATTAATTGTCTAAAACTCGGCCAAAGTGGGGTGGGGAGGTGCTGGAATATTGCTGGTTCATTGTGATTTACCAGGAGGGGGGAAATCCTGTAAATGCAAGTTTCTAAAATCCTGGCTTAAAGTCCTTTGGTTTCCTGTTTAATAGGGGCACCATTAGAATGTAAGCTATTCCCTTCTTCCTGGAATCTTAACTTTTCAGTAGTCCAAATGCAGATGATTGATAATCTCATTTTTTTCAAACATAAATAGCTCTGGTTTGTAGTTGAGTACACACAGCAAGCTGGGCAGGTCCACCTGATAATAGCAAAGAGCTCTGCTACATGTTTTTACGTTTGTGTTTAAACTGTTCTGTAAATATCCCCCCACCCCCCACTTCAGACACACGGAGCACACAGAGCTCTATATTCTATATCCAGTTAGTGAACTTGTGGAATGTAACAGCCAGCAGCTTTGGGTCTCAATCATGGACTTACTCTTCTACTAAACTTCAAGAATATTGAAAATATACACAGTGGAAAGGTCATATGCACGCAGTTCATTAACATTTTAAGAACTAGGAAGTTAGTCCCAGAGTAGAGAGAATAATTCTCGATTTCATGAATGAAAACAGAAAGCATGGAAATTGTATGATAGCTAAACTCTGAAGATCTTTTAAAATGAAAGGCACTCCCATTTTGATGTCTATAATAGCGAATTTATTTTAATGGTTGAAACATAATTTTCAACTCCCTGTATGGAAGATTGCAGTTTGTGTGAGGGGGCCAGCTCAGCCAAATGCGAGTGAATATGTCCCTTTAATTGGGTAATTGCTAACTTTTCTCAACTTGTTTTCAAACGATTGTTATGGAGCACTCAGTTTCCACTAATTGCAAAATTGCTGCTTAATTGAAGGACTCTCAGCCATCTAGAGCAGCCATTCATCCACTGGCAGGCTCTGTAATCTCAAACTGTGAATTGCATTTTAAAAAGGAATGGAGCAGAGAATTCAGGGGAATTCTAGGTTTAAATGCTGGATGTTCAGTGGAGGAAGAAATCATTTGAACAAGAATCACATTAAGTTGCGTTGTGATAAATTTTCTTTACTAGGATGAATAACATACCCAGATGGGCTTCAAAAGTGAATGAGCAAACTTATTGGTTACCCTCTGCATCCATTTACTCTGTTTAGCATGGAGTAATGTTAAGCAATAAATGATGTTGGCAAATGAAATCCGTATGTCATTTGTATATGGGATTTAACCCTAGGACACAGAAAAAAGCTTTGGTATTTTTAAGCTTAGGCATGTGTGTCCTCAAAGTCCCCTTAAACTTCCATTGAAGGCATAGAATTGTTGAGTCCTAAATAATTTTATACTTA